TCTTCATTAGGGGAGTTGCACACAGATGCCATTGCCCTACTCAAGAGGATACAGAAGTTTTCGGTATCTCAGGATGTGGGGGCGCGTGCTGCTCCTCATATTTTCACACGTATTAGCTTTTCCATTGCAAAAGGAGTGGGGGCCCAAATAGTATCTCAGCTCCCCTCCAACTTCTTGTAATTCTTTTGATCCGATAATAATAATAATAATAATAATAAAAAAATAATAATAATAATAATAATAATAATAATTCTTGAAAAATCATTTTATTAAAAATTACCACCTAATCTGAGAGTTCTTGACACCAGATATACATTTACAACAAGTGAAAAGTGCTGCAGTAACTACAAACCGAGTCGAAAACAAACAAGAAGAAAATTTAAAAGCAATAAACTGCAACACACACATGATATATTGTTCACCATTTAGTCGAGTAACACTTTGTAGCTTTTCCTGAGTTCAAGTAAGGCCCGAAGGTTTTCATGACTTCGTCGTACGTTGGCCTTTTGTAATCCACTGCCTGGTTGATATAGAAAAATACAAGGATTATTCAAGAGCCAAAACCATCTTTCAAAATCATAAAAGCAACTTTTAAATTTGCTTTTGTTACCCAAAACTTTCCCTCAAGCGAAGAATTTGTTCGGAGTATTTTGTAATTAGAGAGAGCTCGTGGGAATTTCTTTTATAACTTATCGCAAAGATAACAGAAGCAAATGAAAAGAAAAAGAAAAGGAATACCTGCTCAATGACTTCTTCAGGGGTAGCCCACTTCCATTCTGAGAATTCAGGGTCTGTTTCGCAATTTGCTAAATTGATCTCACTTTCATCAGCTTTAAATCTCATAAGGAACCTGTCAAAAGGCCGAGCTATTTGACTCATACTAAAGAAATTGTTACTTTATAAATTCTGTACAAACCTATTGAGCTCTAGGCAAATCTAAGACAATATCTATACATGTATAAAACACCCGAAATGAAATATGACCATGGCTTGATATTCCAAGTGAAGCAGAGAAGTTTCGGTAATTGCACTTATTTTTCCGACAAAAATAGCATAGTTTGTAAAGAGTATTTTCGGGATAGAATATAAAGAGAAATGATTCTCAACAAGTTCCTTCCATTAATTAATCAACCAATAGAATTTCTTGCGAGCTCTTCGGTCATAAATTTTCTACTGCCATATTTGTCGATCCACGAAAAATCCAAAATGGAAAAAACAGATATGTTTTTGTTTTTTTGTTTTGGTTCTAAATCTAAACAACGATCATGTTCATGTCAAAAAAGGAAGACGATGGACTATTTTCAGCGGCTTCTTACAAGTTCCAAACCACGTGGGGAAAGTCGTTTAGTTTTTATATACGTACAAACTAGTTTTGCAAGTCATAAAATAGGACAATTATTATGACGTGATAAATCTAACCATTTCTGTGCCTGGCCATGCCATTCTCCACGCCATAGACGATTGACTTTCGCCTTTACAGCCGGTGGGAAGTCATAAGTCAACCATCCTGGAACCTATAATACAGTTGACAAAAACTTTTGTAAAATGAACAAACAACTTCTTTTGGCATATTCAAATCCAATTAATGATTAACACCCCCCAAATGTGACATAATTAATTGCAGAACTAGAGTTCTATTCGATGGCAAGGAAGGAAACTGTTATAGAAACACTGAAGGAAAACGACAAAAAGGAACAAAACGTAATAATAAAATGAAAACGAGGTGGACAGACCTCATCGATTATTTCAGCAGACACAATTCCAGTTTCTTCCCTCAGTTCTCTGATTGCTGCAGACCTCGGTTCCTCACCATCTTCAATACCACCCTATCACGAAAAACGGCAGAGAAAATTACTATATTTTATTACAGAAAGATCATTTTTGCAAACAAGATGGCCACCGGCACGTGCTGGTTCAAAGTGTAATGTTTCAGTTAGCAGCCTTCATAACAATACTCTAGTTATTGCATTGACAGTTTTCATGGACAATTTCAAGGGAAAATGATAAAAAAAAAACGAAGATTATGCCGTATTATGTAAGGAAAAGCGGCATTACCTGAGGCATTTGCCACGCTCCAGGAACGTTTAATCTGGAAGCTACGAACACCTAGAATCAAATCGTGAAACGTCGATGAATTTTTTTGTCTTGTCAAACTAAAAGTAGTAGTTAGTCTCTTATAAAAGCAAAAGATCAATGATTCAAAGCCCATTTTTTGTTTTTCTCCAAGCGATCTTATCTCTAACTCACAGACAACAAACTAATATACTTTTTCATGAATTGGTGAAGCATATCATTTCATATTCAATTTGGTTTCCAACAGATTATGTTATTTTCATGCTCTCTAGAAGCTCAGATCCCCAAAAGTCTAACAAAAGCAAAGAGAAATAGAAAAAGTTCATCTAAAAATAACTAGAAATTTCAGAACAATACATAAATAATATATATCCTCAGTTATAATCAGTGCATCAAAAACATCTACAACCTTCTCTGAACAAACATAAAGCATCTAAAACTGAAGAAGTTTTTAATTACACAACAGTGTAATTAAAGTGAAAATTCATATCATATATTTAAGTGAAAATTTATGAAGATCTCACGATTCCTAATTTGATGAGACATTAAAAAAAAAATAAAAAATTAAAAAAAAAATACTCAATTTTCTTACCATATTATCGTCATTGATGAGACAAACTCCAACGTTGGGACGATAACCAGAGGGCAGACCATCCATTGCCTTTACTCTTCTACTAGAAATTAATGAAAGACGACTGTAAGAGAAACACACACAAAAAAAAAAGGGAAAATTTTCTTTTGCGAATGTTAAATCGCTATCAGGATATCACTTTTAAAAGCTCAAAGTCAAACGCAATTCATATGCGCCCCTGAGTGTGTAAGAATGAGGTGTGATGACGTCCGCCCGAATTTCAGAATTAAAAAATGGA